AACAATGGTAAGAGTTGGAAAGGGACCCGAGGGTCATCTAGTCCAACCCCCCGCAATGCAGGAATCTGGGCTGAAGCATCCATGACTGGTGGCCATCCAACCGCTGCTTAAAAACCTCCAAGATAGGAGAGTGCACCACCTCCAGAGGGAGACCGTTCCACTTTTCTGTGTGTGTTTGTGTATGTGCACATGTGTGTATAGATACATACTTTTTAAAAATAGTTCTTTTTAACAGAGTTGCCCAGTTAAGCGTCAGACCAGGGCAGGCTTCAATTCGATTTCTCTGGCTGTGTCTCAGCAACTCAATCCTCTCCCACCCCGACCTACATCGCAGGGTTGTAGTGAGGATCAGACAATGGTGGTGAAATAACCACACACACACACCGACTTGAGCTCCTTAGAAAACAACGCAGGCTATGAAGCGGCTATCCTGGCCGGGTCTACTCGGAAGTAAGCCCTCCTGGCTTCAAGGGGGCTGCCTCTCCCAAACTGAGTGCACCCTAAATGAGCTCAGCATGCACAGATGCAATTCAACTCCTCCTCCCTTCTTGCAAAGAGCCTCTGCTCTGGAGGATTTGAACCCAGGATCCTGCTCCTCTTCCTTACGACTTATGGCTAGAGGAGAAAGGGAGCGCGAACTCTCTCTCTCTCTCTCCCCTCCGGAGCGAAGAGAGCGACTCGATCCCCCGCCAGATCTCCCTCTCTTCCTTCCCTCACCCACTCAGGATCGTGCCCTTTCTCCGCCTCCTCTTTGGGTGCAACTTACCCAGATTCCCCTCCGGAAGGGACCTGCTCCCCCCCACTCCGGAGACCCCCCAGATCTGCAGCCACTCCCGGAGGCGAAGGAAAGCGACGGGGGGAAAGTGGCTTCACAAGACTCCGTTTGCAGGGGGAGGAGATACGGCAGGAAGAGGCCAGACTAACTCTCTGGGGCTCCTTTCTAGGAATCTGCTCTCGCTCTCTCACCTCCTCTTTGGCAAAGCAAAGGGTGGCTGCAAGCCCGGATATTATTATCGCGTTAATATTAGTATTAGTATTGCAATGGGGTTTGGGGCGTCTTCCTTTTGTTATTGCTCTTCTCAACCCCTCTCCTTACTCTGGGTTCCATCCTGCTTGTGCAGAGTTTGCAAGTCCAGGAATTATGGTTATTTATTTGCAGTGCATGGGGATGTCTCTTTTTCTTTTTTAATTCCCAACCCCTGTCCTTATTTTGGGTTCCATCCTGCTTGTGCATCTGTTATTATTTATTTGCAATACATCGAGAGCCTCTCCTTCCTTCCTTCCTTCCTTCCTTCCTAACCCCTGTCCTTATTTTGGGTTCCATCCTGCTTGTGCATCTGTTATTATTTATTTGCAATACATCGAGAGCCTCTCCTTCCTTCCTTCCTTCCTTCCTTCCTTCCTAACCCCTGTCCTTATTTTGGGTTTCATCCTGCTTGTGCATAGTTTGCAAGTCTAGATACTACTTATTATCTCTTTGCAATGCTTCGGGGCGTGTGTGTCTCTTTTTGTTTCTGCTTGTGCATTTGGGGCTTTTGTTTGTTTTAAAATTGGCTGGTTTCCCCACAAAGGAAAGGTGGCTAGCATCCGCTTTGGAGCTTGCAAGTGCTTCTGGGAAATGTAGTTCACAACAAAGGCAACAACAACCCTGATGTTTTCCTAAAGCAAGCATAGGCAAACTTGGCCCTCCAGATGTTTTGAGACTACAATTCCCATCATCCCTGACCTCTGGCCCTGTTAGCTAGGGATGATGGGAGTTGTAGTCCTAAAACATCTGGAGGGCCGAGTTTGCCTATGCCTGGCCTAGAGGTGGTGCAAGTTTGTGGAAGAAAGAAGAGCCTTGTGAACCTTGAAGGGTTAACATGTAATGCAATACACGTCTACCATGGTGCAATCCTATACATCTACCATGGGCCCAGCCAGGATTTTAAATTACTTTCTTTCGACCCCAAGCGCTCAGAAAAATCTGTCGAAATCCTACAATTCCTTCTTTTAGTTAAGTATTTTTATTCATTTACTAGATGGGGGTTGCAGCTGTCCCCCTTGCCCACCTAGCTACACCCATGATGTTTACTCAGAAGTAAACTACACCAAAAAACCCCACCCTTTTAAAGCACATGACTTCCCCCAAATAATCATGGGAAATGTAGTTTCTCACCCTTAGAGCTACACTTTGCAGTACCCTTAATAGACTAGTTCCCAGGATCCCTTAGGAGAAACGGTGTGATTTAAATGCACGTTGTAGTATATAGCATTGGCTTTGCACAAACAAAAAAGTTGGTCAGTAACCTCCTTTGGGTCTTGTGAGGGCTTCTGGAAACCATGGTTCACGCCAGAGTGGGGAGCCATTATTATGAACATGAGAAGGGCCTGCTGGCCCATCGAATTCAATATCCTGTTCTGGCACAGATGACCAAGAAACATGATCAGAGTTCAAGGCTGTCATCCATTGCTGGTGACTGAAGCAAAATCTGGGAGCAAGGTGACTCTCAGGACACCATATTTATCCCTAGTTTGCCAACCTCTCTCCGATGCCGGTCCAGAAGCTTGCAAAATCTGCATTAAACACACGTTATGTGTGTTGTTGAAAGCCAGATGTGAACAAACAGGTTCGAAGGGTCCAGTCGGGTATATTCATTGTTAGGTAAACAGAGCAGGCAAGCATCTCATTGTTAGGCAAACGCAGATACTGTAATATATGGCCAAGGGATGTAAATCACTATCAGATTGCTCTCAGTAAATGTGTATTTGTGCATTAGGCTCTCATCCTGAGTTGTTTTTAGGGAGATTTGATGCAGGCGTTGCTACTTAATGAGCTTTCACCCTCATTAAAAAGCCCTGAACGGGACACTCCCTGAGCTGGGTGGGTGAATGTTCCTTGGGGACGTAACTTCTTCACCAAGCGCTTAAACTATGGAACTCCCTGCCACAGGAGGGAGCCCAATCACCAACCTGGATGGCTTTTAAAACAGAAGGGAAAGGCTGTCAATGGCTCCTAGCTTCAGTGGCCATGTTCCACCTCCGCTGTCAGGGTTGCTGTGAGGATAAAATGGGGAAGCACGAGAATTGTGCATGTCACCTGAGGGCCCTTGGGAGGAAAGGTGGCAAAACAATGCAATAACAAATGAAACGTATGTGTTACGGAAAATCTGGGTGTGTATTTGCCCTGCCACCCAGCTCGTCGGACAGAGTCCGCGGGTCCTTGCGGAGGAAAAAGGAAGCTCAGCC